ATGGCTCATCCCGGACAGGCTGGTGCTGCCTTATGGCCGGGAGAGTCACCCAAGCAGACAGGTGAGCAGGCGCAGATAAAAGGCTTACAAGACATAGTAAATAGACATAAAGCTAAACATAAAGCTGAACGTTTATTACTTAAAGGAGAGAGAGAGAGAGAAAGAGACAGAAAGACAGAGACAGAGAGAAAGAGAGACAGAGACATGTGTGCACACGCCAAGAGAGAGAACAGAAAGAGGCCAAGATGGCGACGAGAGGTCAGAAGTCACTGGGAGTGGGTGTGGCTTGCCCCTTAAAGGGACCAGAGATCAAAGGAATAACAATAATCTCACATAGTTAATTTGGTTTTTGCTTGCAAAGAGCAATTAAAATCTTAAAAATCTCAAATAATTTTATTAAATATACAATTCATATTTACATTGCTTTTTATTTTATATTTTGAGATAGGCTTCTCTTCTTTATACATCTTCATTAAACATATTTTCCATATTTATTCCTTGACTTAGACCTCCTTGATCCTCTTCTAGCATCCTACCCCTTCTGTAACTACTATTTTATTATCTACTCCTAATATTTGCATTTTTAAAGAAACAATAAACATTAAATTGAAATTATACAATGTTCTTTGTATTGATTTATTTTACTTAGCACAATATCCTCCATGCTAAGGATCCAGGGCCTTCTTCACAAAGTTGAATTTCCCTTTTAAAGGTTGAATAATATTCTATGGTGTATAACAACCATATTTTCTTTTTTATTTGCACTTGTACACAAACAGACATTGTGTTCTTACCCTGGCTATTTGAATAAAATTGCAATGAACATGTGAGTTGAGTTTAATTTTCATAGGGTGAGAATTTATTTTTGTTGCATATGTATTTAGAAGAGGAGTTACTGAGCCATATTATAATTTAATCTTTAACTTTTGGAGGATTCTCCATGCTGTTATAAACCTTTACTATTCCAATGATTTTCCAGAGTGACTACCAATCTACATTTCCATCCACAGTACTTTCTTTTTCTTTACACGCTTGCTAAATCTGGTTCTCGGTCATCTTTGTCTTTCTGGTAGTAGCATTTTAATGGTTTTAATTTCTATTTCTCTCCATACCAGAGATGGAAGTTTTCCCTTTCTCCAATCCAGTCTCAACTGACCATGTGACACCATCACTCTCCCTGGATAAGAAGCCGCTTACAACTCGGAGACTGTTTCCATCCACCATGGTACACCTCCTCCTGCCTGATTCCCCATCTGCTGTCTCACTACCGTGGTTGACCACAAGGTGAGGTCAACTTTGTCTCATTCTAAAGCCTTCAATAGCCCCTCCCTACCCAAATATAAAGCATAGCCTGACTGCATGCCTACTAGTGAGGTTGATGCATGTCCCTTTACCACTTTTCCATCCCTCCCCTTGCAGTGGTTCCCAACCTTCCTAACGTTGTGGCCCTTTAATATAGCTCCTCATGTTGTGGTGACCCCCAACCATAAAATTGTTTCATTGCTACTTCATAACTGTAATCTTGCTACTGCTTTGAATTGTAATGTAAATATCATATATGCAGGATATCTGATGTGCAACTCCTGTCACAGGTTGAGAACCGTTATTGGTTTCCTTGGCACCCTGTTGAAAGAAGATTTTATATACAAGAAAGACAAATGAATTTTACAAAAACTGTGATGACTGAGCTGGCAGCATGACCCAGTGGTAGAGTTTGCCTTTAGCATGAAGGCCCTAGGTTCAGTCCTCCAAACCAGCAAACCAAACAGTGACGATTTTACTGTCTGAGATTTGATTATATTAACCATAAACATTGGTTGTTCTTCAAAATTGGTATATAAAATGTTTTAAACTGCCTTTTAAGGCTGAGACGTTGTTGTGAAATGATGGGAAATATCACATTCTGTATTCTGGGGCAGCTAATTAAATTAACCTGGAGCAGTCCAGCATGGGTGAGCTACAGCAAGACACACTCTTTCTTCTTGAGTCAGGTGCCCTGCGTCTGTGGACATCTTCCTGCTGCTGCTCCTCATGGTGCTTTAGGAATATTTTACTCTATGTTTTTGAGAGTTGTCTAGAGCTCAGAGGATGGAAGCCAGTGGAGTTCCTTAGGTGGAGTCCAATATTCTTTGGGTAAGCACCTCCTACTGCTCAGTGCTGAGGCTTGACCCCAGAGCCTGTGTGTTAGGCAAGCTCTGAGCAGCGTCTTTAGCCCTGGCTAAGAAACTTCCCTCCAAGGGTTCATCTAAAGTCGCATCTCTACGTTCCTCTTCTGCCACGTGGCTCTAAAAATTTGTATTGAGAGCCTGGCGGTGGTGGCACACGCCTTTAATCCCAGCACTCAGTAGGCAGAGACAGAGGCAGACGAATCTCTGTGAGTTTGAGGCCAGCCTGGTCTACAAGAGCTAGTTCCAGACAGGCGCCAAAGCTACAGAGAAACCCTGTATTGAAAAAAAAAATTGTACTGAGAAAAAGAAAAGAGAAAGGAACAAAAAAGTTTTCAGTACTTAGAAGTTTTTCCCCTTAAAAAATCTCACAGTGGAAATTCTGCGAAGGGATTAATTTTCCCCTTTAAATCTTACTTTTTTAAAAAATAATTTGAAATTAGCTGAATTTATCACATTTGTGTAGTTTTTGGCTTGTGAGATTGATTAAACTTTAAGGACAAGTCAGAATTATCCACATTTTTTATTATGTTTGGGGTATGTGAATCTAGGGTTACTCACATAAGACGCAGTAGTCATGAATTAAGTGAAAATGATGCCAAATGGTCCTTGCATTGATGAGCATTGTATTAAGAAGGCGCGAAAAAGTTCACAAGCTCACAGTGACAAGGCCCCTCCTTTGGAGTCCAGCTTTGTTGTTTATGCTCCCTTGTTGGCAGGAAGACTGCAGAGAGAGCCCAGCTTCTGTGTCTGAAGCTGGCCAGATAATTCCGTGCGTGTGGTAACACGAGCCTTATCTTCCTACCATTAATAACAATTGGAATACGCAGAGGAGAAGCCGCTGTCGGTGATTGCAGTGAATTTGAACTCATTGCGGATGAGGCTTTAGAACTTCTGCCAGATCCTCCTCTGCTCCCACACCTGCCTGTGCCGGGGCCTGAACGCAGCAGGCTTTGGGTGGGAGAGAGCCCACAGAAAAAGATGGAAGCAGCAGACTAACTAGAAGGTGACAGTTGACACCGCTAAACAGCGTTGCCGCTTGTAAGATGCTGGCCATGGTAATCATTTTCCTACGAAGCTGTCTCACATGATTTTCAGAAAATTAAAGCCATGACTTGCATGCGAATGTAAAATGAACACATGTCAAAGATTTACTCAACTCGTTTACGAGAGCTGAGGAAATCAGTAAATGTTAAAACTGTTTTTAAAAATATTCAAAGACTTAGGTATTTTTAAAGAAATTTAATGAGTTACTGCCACAATAAGAGTGGTGGACTAGATTTTAAAAATATGTTTAATATCTGACGAGACAAGAAGTCATTGTTCTAGCGCGTTTTCTATTGCTCTTGTCAGAAGCCTTGAGCCAGGTAGCTCACAAAGAGAACTATAAACCAAGCGGTTCTAGAAACCCAGGAGCATGGTGTCAGAATGTTTGACTTCTGGTGAGGTCATGACATGGCCGAGGGTATCGTGAGTGAAGGCAGTGTGGCTCTCTCTTCCTCTTTAGAAAGCCTCTCATCCCACCATGAAGTACTTACTTTCATGATATCAAGCCCTTAGGCTTCCCACAGCACCCGCCTCCAAGTTCGATTTCCGTAGGACTTTGAGGGGTAAGTTTGGAATATATAGTTTGGAGGATGAAATAAAGTCATTCCAAGCCTGAACTTCAGAGGAATTTATTTTACAAAACAACAGACATTATTTGCATTTTTCCTGGACAGAATTCTGCAAGCTTTGCGGTAGTGTTTCCGCATCTCAGAATTTCAAGCAACTGTAATGGGGCCCTGCTCTAGATAATGCTTCAGCTGTGTCTTGAGCTGTGTGCTATTCAGACAATTTTCCACCCATCTTTTTTCCATGTTTTCCACTCCGAAGATTTTTTTCCTAATAGGCTATTTAGAGTTTTTCAGAAATCACTTATTTTTCTAACAGAGGCACCACACATACATAGCCACGTGGGAAATAACCTCAAGTATTAGATCAAAATAAGTGGTGGGTAGAGAATGGTAAGTACTCAGATAGGTCCTTTGAGACGGGCTGGCATGGACTGCATTGGATTTACTATTGCTATTGTCCGTTCTTTGTAGCCACCCTGCTGATGTTAGCAAAAACCAGAGACAGCCCAATGACACCTGAAGAGCAGCATAGACAGGCAGCTACTGTATTCTTTCACTGAACTATCATTTAGCAGGCAAAACTATTGAACAGCACAATAAGGGTAAATATTATAAATATAATATTAAATGAGGAAAAACAAGCTTCAAAGGAAAATATAAAGTTTAAAATCAATCATTATCAAAAATTATTGTCAGACGCGCACAAAGATATGTCAACACTGTGTAGGAAGAATGGAAGAGAGAAACACAGACGGTTCTATTAGGTTGGATGATACAGGAGAATGCAATGGTGCTGACTACTTATTGACTTCTCATTATTATTTCTACATAAAAAGCCCTGAAAATTTAGTGCCCCTGATGGATGAGGATTATCTGTCTATGTGTTACTTTTATTAGTTAATAAAGAGACTGCCTTGGCCTTTTTGATAAGCCAGCCCTTAGGTGGTTGGAGTAGACAGAACAGAATGCTGGGAAGAAGGCAATGAGGCAGTCACTATAGTTCTCCTCTCCAAGATGGACACAGTTAAGATCCTTCCCAGTAAGCCACCACCTTGTGGTGCTACACAGATTATTAGAAATGGATTAAGCAAGATGTGAGAGTTAGCCAATAAGAGGCTGAAGCTAATGGGCCAAGCAGCGTTTAAATTAATACAGTTTCCATGTAATTATTTTGGGTAAAGCTAGCCGGTCGGTGGGAAGTAGCCTGCCATTCATACTACAAGGCCCCAAACCCCTACTTAATTATATCTAGAGATTTCATGGGTTGGAGATTTGGAGAAGGCACATGAGGATTAGCTTGTGTTTGCTTTGTGGTGTCTGCATTCCATTTGGGAAGACTTGAGGAGTGGAATTGGCTGACTCACCTGGAGAAGTCTAGCAGCTGATGCTGCCTAACACCAAGAACACCTACACATGGCCTCTCCACGTGGATTTACAGTGTGGACTAGCATGAACTTCCTCAGTACTCTGGCTTTATTCAAAGAAAGAAAGAAAGACCAAAAGATATGGCATCCTTATAATGTAGCTCAGTTGCACAGTGACACTTTTTCCAAACTCCACTGGTCAGGCAGCTCTGATGATCCTCACAGTTTCGTAAAGATGGCACAGAGACCCCACTATCCAACAGGAGGAAGGCTAATGTCACAGCACAAGAAGAACATGTGTGATGGGAGATACCTCTGTGGCCACTCCCAGATGTATTTTGTGGTTGCCTATAGTCTGAATTTTAAGTGTCCCTAGCTCAACACTTATTAGGTAGAGTCATGCCATTGATGGGTGGCAGATGCCTAAAAGGTGGGCCCTAGTGTGAGAGTTTAGGTTACTGGAAGCACACCCTGAAGGGAACTATGGGACATTTGGGACACAGTTCTTGTCACCTTCTTCTTGCCGCCTTTTCTTCTTCTTCTTCTTCTTCTTCTTCTTCTTCTTCTTCTTCTTCTT